TTTGTGGCAGTAATATACAGTATTGTATTTTATATTGGGGTTTCTCTATGCAACTATGATTTCTGGTACTTCAACTTTAAAGTGTATTTCCATTATTTCTATTGGTCAGAATCTTGGGAAAGGCACTTTTAGATTTCTTCTGTACATTGAGAGGGTCCTCCCACATATCCTTTGAATTACTTGTGGGCACAAGACTTTACTTTGTTTTTGTTTCTTAGCTTTCATTGTACATGCATTCATAAGGCATGCCATTAATGGTCTGTGTATATTAGATCACCCTGGCTTCTCCTATGGCGCAGAAGCTGAGAAGAAATCATCTCCAAATTTGAAAGAAGATGCAATTTCAAGTAGAGTTAGAAGAAAGTCAGGTAAGCAATAGTAATTTTATGATTTTAGGAAAACTAGACATTTAAGTTTCTCATCTTGATGACTGAAATGCAGAATATTTAATCTTGATCAAATGTATACACCAGTCACATTAAATTCAGTACTTGTGAATTGTGATGACTGGCAGATTGGATCCTCATCAATACAAAGCATCTATGTCAACTGCATAAATGTCCCACTGCAGCATCTTCATGCCTTAAGCAAGTTATACAGACCACGACCTTCCAGATGATGAACTGTCATGACTTTGGGCTTTCAGTCGTCAAGCACTATTTTATAGTAAATTGAGAAAAAGTTATTTATATGACTGAACCTTTGCACTTCACAGTCACTCATATGTTTGGTATTTAATATAATATGCACCATATGCGTTAGGGCAGACGGCAATCAGAAACTAAAAAATGACAATAGATTATAATAAGTCATTATAGGCCAAGTATACCCTTATTTTTTATTATTTTTAAAGCAGATTGTGACTGAATAGTATTTTATTTTTTTTCAGAACCATCCTCAAGCCTGCATAAAGTAATGAAGCAAAATGGTAAGCTAAAAAAATAAAAATGGAATTCTATATATAATGTATGTTATTGTGATCTTACTTTTTTTGCTTTGTTTCTTTAGATATGAGCCCTGAAGTTCAGAAGGTAAGCTCAGTTAAGGTTTCGTCAGTAGTAAAAATTGGTTGTTTGACAAACATGCCTTCTGATTTCATGTGTTCTTCCATTACTCTGTGACTGCAGGAGTCTGTAACGTGTGTTTCTGTAGTTAAATTGTGCCCCATTCGGACCCCCATTAATGTGGACACGCAATTGATGACAGTGATAACTCCACTCAGATTGCTGCTGTCACTTGCAAGCAAACCGCCAGAAGAAGAAGTCTACTACTCCCTCTGTGGCTCTGTCTGATGACATTATGTAATGCAGAGGAAGCGACTCGTGGAAAATTTCCTTTGCCAGCTATTTGTTTACAAGTGTTGGAACTTCTTGCACAGCCTCACAGAGAAACACAAGCACACAGTCTAATATGCATGCTGCTCATGGTTTGAAAACAGGAAGGAAGCCACAGCTTTATTTTCTACGTTTTTCAATACAACAGAGCATATACCATAGATACTGTATAACAGAACTTATAAACACTGCCATCTAGTGACCGAAATTGTATACTGCAGTAGTTATTGCTCTAAACACAGTAATGTATATTCTAACAACAAATGAAAGCAGCAATCAGCTGAGCTGTCGCTGCAAATAATTAATCACAGGTCCATGCTGATGGGGGTCTGAATGGGGCCAGGATCATTCATATTTATATGCCTGAGCAGCAGTTGCAAGTTATTTCTATTAGGAGGTAGGAGAATAACGCTGATAACTTCGTATTGCATGCTGAACGTTCCCTATTCTGCATTGGCTCATTCCATATGCCATGCTGTACGTTTTCATATTCAGCACTGGCTCATCCCATAAGTGAAAGAGCATAAATGTATAACAATCACATTTCACTATACATCAGCTCAGGGCTGTCAGAATTAAGAACTCTGGCTGATTGGTGGTTTACATTCCACTTTTGCCATATTAAATGATCTAATAAACTGGGTGCATACGCTATACACAAACTATATTTTGATTAGATCGGTTAGCTCAACAGCAACATTTATGAACATGCTGCCTATGTGGATCAGCATACCTGAAGGAATATAAACTACGTGGATTGTTTAGGTAGGCCCTCAAACTTCATAGTTCTTGGTTGCACTTACATAGGTTATACAATCTACAGTAGCTTTCTGGACAATTTTAGAATAGTAGAAGTCTATTCCTCAGACCAAAAAAGGATAGTCAAGGAGAAAAAGGGCCAGAGAAAAAAAATGTGTTCCAAATGTGAGACAGTTGTAAGTTTCTGTATGTCTTTAAGACTGTGTTTATTTTACAGCGTATCAGCATGCAAGGCAGTCTGCTTTGTCAAGCTGCCAAACTGGGGTCAAGGGAACTGCTTCTGAAATCTGGCCTGCGAAAAGGAACCAATGTGGGTGGCACCCAAGAACTCTTTCAGCAAACTTACAACAGTGGAAATCTGTGTCTAAGGCCAACAGGACAGACTGATGCAGATGATGAAGAAGAAAGTGAACAGGTGTGTTATACACTTATCCCCTGTAGATGTGTTTTGTATGTGTTGTTCACACTATATAATTTTTGAGTTGCTTATATTAGATCTTGCTTCTTGTTAGTTTGAATTTGAATTATTGTAGGTTGCTTAACGTTATCAAGGATTTTCTTAAATTCCAGAATATACTGCACAGTTCTCAGCAGAAGGCAAAAAGTGGAAGAAAACGATTAAACAGTCAGGCCTCCGAGAACGTTGAGAAACGTAGAAGCATCAACCTCAGCTTATGTGACAGCCAGGTTAGCATACATCTTTTTTCAGAAAGTTCCAGGAAGATTTGCTAAATGAAGGGTCTTGTGCAAATAATTATATGCAAACATGATTTTAACCCTTTAGTCTTTTCTTACTCTGCTCTTTCAGCTTGCCAATCAAGGTAAAAATCTAGAAGGGACACAAGTATATATGTTGGTTTATTCATATCTCAGTTGGGAAAACACTTACAGTATATTGTTGTTTTGGTTTTTTTTAAATGTAGAAAATAAGATTTTACAAAATGTGGAATTCAGGGTATTTAAAATTATGCATAGCGCTGTCAATGAATTCTTCATTTAAAACACCCACCTCTCAATACTCTCCTAGGATGTCGGAAAGCTGTTAAATTCAGACACAGAGCTCAGCAATGTTTCAATGTTTTGATATGTATTACTGATGCAGCGATACCGTTTTTTCGGTATCGCGTGGCAGTACCTATATTTATCTTTTGGTACTTGCTGATACTGAGTACTTATACTTCCGCTAGCATGGAGCCGGCTTCTCAGGCAATCGGTGTCATTACCTGCTGCCCGGCTTCCTGATTTGGCTGGGAAGTCGGCTTCCCTGTGAATCAGCATGGAGCCGGCCAAAAAGCATGGAGCCGACTTCTCAGCCAATCAGGAAGCCGGGCAGCGAGTCATTGCCCGGCTTCCTGAGTGCCTGGGAAGCCGGCTCCATGTTCCCTCGTGGCACTGCCGGTCAGAGGAAATCTCCCTCTGACCGGAAGTTCCATATCTGGGTAAGTATCAGAGCATTCAGGCGAGTACCAAATACTCAGTATCCGCACCAATACAGATGCTAGTATCGATATCGGCGCATCCCTAATACGTATATTATGTGCTTAGTATATACAATAAAGCCCTGTAGTAGAGTGAAGCTCATCAGAGCTTGAAGAGTTTATTAGTATGTGAATGCTACTTCAATGAATAAAGTTTTAATGAACGACTTACTCATGTGGTAGTTTGTCTATACGGAAATTGTGTTTGGGGTGGCAAATGGAGGCTAGTCCTCAAGTAAAATCGGTACCTGCAGCAGGTGCCATTAGCCACAAGGAACCTCGGAGTGGTACTGTTCTGTTGGACAGCTATGTGTTTGGTCATGTTATTTGTAATGGCATATGATCAAATGCTGGGTAACCCTGCCAAGGCATCCCTAAACTCAGTACCCAGTTTGGCAGTTTGTGTTAGATTTCACAGCACACTCCCACTGAAATTTTTTAGGTAATGGTAATTGATTTTGCAGGGCCAGTTAGGGCCGTCCCCCCCCCCCATAGAGAATGGCAGACCTGCAGGCTGCATACAAGTGATCTCAGCGATATCGCCGGGATCACTCGTACAAAACAAGTGGCGGCTTCCCCGCTGTACATTTAGCACTGCTTGCCCACACAGGGCTATATGTAGAAAACAACTACCCGCCGGCGCCAAGAACTGCATGTCCCGGGCATCAGGAGATAGGACTTCCACATCCCTGCTGCCCAAGGCCGGGCCTTGGTTGGCCTTGTGGAAAATCTGGCCCTGGGGCCAGTACAACCTCTGCTCGTGTGTCTATGTTAATATCTTCTAAAAACAGTGGTCAACATATTGAGAGAAATGTGGTCCAAGCATTTTAGATAACATGTACCCTTTGCCACTCCAATACATGTTTGAAGCCAAAAATATTATTTGTTTTTTGGATAGGAGGATAATGCTGTATTGAGAAAACTGAATTTGATAGATAATGGCACACACGCAAAGAACTTTCTCCCCAATTATATAAATATTGATGTTTTCCTATAATTGTTAATGCTCTCAGGCTATTATAACAACAATTATCATTCATGTCCTATTTGAATATTTTGTTTTTAGAGTTCCAAAGACCAGTCAGACGAAGAGACTTTGCAAATGAGTACCGACCTCCGGTATTCCACATCTCCACTTCCCACAAACATAGAACAGGGTATTTCACAGACAAATTCTTTGATAATGAATATCCTAGGAGGCACAGGTGCACTACAGAACATCTGGACTGACCACCAGATTAGACAAGCCCTCTTTCCGTCTAGACGTCCACCTCAAGTCAATGATGAGAATGATGATGACTATCAGATGTTTATGATGAATGAATGCTCCAAGTTGGAATCATCAAGGTCACAAGAGGAAAGAGGTGCATCCAGCCGACCATGTAGCTGGCATTTGGGCCTAATGCAAGAAGACAGTGCAAGCAATTCATACTGCAAAGTTGTCAGAAGAGCAAGTAGTGTGGGAGAAAATAAAACACATTTGCGTCACTCAAGAAACAGACAAAAGAACAGCAAATACCATTGTGAGGAGGTTTTGAACCATTTTGAACCAAATCCTAAATTCTCTTCTCTTGGTTCATCCGAGGAGTTGACGATTGATGACATTGAACATGTTTATGACAATATCAGCTATGATGATCTCAAACAGATGGGAAGGAGAGACCATTCAGATTTCCTTCTGATAAACAGAGGGGGTGATGCTTTGCATCAAAGCAATGAAATTATTAACCCTCAGTCATTAAAAGGACCTGAAAGGAACAAGACTGCATCAGTGCCAAATAAAGAAAGAGTGATGCTTCAAAGAGGAACATCTAATTCAGGCTCCCAGGAGCTCAGAATAATTGAAGAAAACATCTATGACTCTATATGTATAAAAAAACAGTCACTGGAACACAAAAGGAAAAATCAACAGCCCAAAAGGAACAGCTTCTTGGGCTTGGATGGTGACTTCCAGTGTTTTGATGCTGTGGATCACTTTGTGTCTGAAGATAGCTTACAATTTAGTGAGGATGAATCCTCAGACCATCGTGTGCCAGTAGGAGATGAGTATTTCAACCAGTTTAAAACTCCTTCAAAGGTTGCCCACAAATCTGCAGCAGACAGGCTGTCCGAAGAAGTAGATAAGATTTGGAATGATTTGGAAAACTATATAAAAAAGAATGAGGAGAAGAAGAACGACCGGTTGTTGGCCTCCTTTCCTGTGAGCAAAGAAGATGTCCGTGAGAAGAGGCAAAGCAGGTCTCATTACAGCAAAGAATACTCATTGTCATCAATGTGTTTACTAGACAATTCACCTTTGCCAAGGGCCGCAGTAAGTCGGAGCCCTAGTGTCCATAAAGAAGACCTGAGCCCTCCAGCATCTCCTAGTAGCTCGGTATTAAGCCTAAAAAGGACTTCACTGACTAGTGAGATGAGTTTTGTGGAGTCGCCATACTTTTCATCGCAAAGCACTCTAACCTTCTCTGATAAAATGAGTTCAGCTCAGGGATTGGAAAGTGCTGAAAAATCCAAAAATAAGGTCTTTACAATGGCAAGAGAGTACAGCCAGAGAATCAGAAAAGCCAATCAGCTTTTAAAAATGAAAAGCCCAGAGCAGGAGCAACCATCTTGCAGATCACAAAAGCTAAAGGAGAAAGACCTTGCAGCTATAATGGAAGAAAAGAAACAAGGCGGTACAGCGATCGGTAAGCAGTTTTTTGTTCAAACAAATATTTAACATTACTGTAAGGAGAAGGAAGAATGGGATTTAAACTTCTACAGCTAACACACACAACTAAGTGCTCACCACACTTAAAGTGGAACTCCAGCTTCCCAAACCATAGAATTTACGTCATATGTTTAGCATAGTTACATTTTTTTCACAATGGATTAGTTATGAGCTGCAGTAACAGGCTTCAGGTTTGCTGTGGCCCACAGACAGCTTGCCTGTTGTGGGATCCTACCACAATTTAATAGGATACAAATGTCTATGAGTTACCTAAGATAGTGTTCCTTAACCTCAAAGTTGATTTTATTATATATCAATCTGCTTCTCCGGTTGTGACATCAGTAAACTGGTGCAAGGGTCATATTGTGATTGGTGGAGGGTATTCTCCATTTTTTTTATTATGGACACAGTATATTGTGAATGCAAAACTTGCTCTAGATATATCTAAGATATATCTATCTACATTTCCTATTGCTTAGTCTCACTGGCTGTATGATTTCATTTGAAGGTTACAGATATTAAATTTGCACATGGGAGAGCAAGGAAAGCGGAAAGATTTAGTGGCTAAAATGCAAAACAACCATCAAAAAAGCTTTAGTTAAAAAAAAAAAAAGTGTTTGGCAGCATGAATACTGAACATAAGGAACAATGGGCAGCGGAACCTGTGCACATTCTGGCAAAAAAAAACATTTTTGTCCTATTTATTGACATGGGAGATTCTTCCTAGATGAGTCGAGCATTAGCAGGAGCAACAATCCCCTCAAAATGACAGGCTCATAAAGGATTGTGATAACTAGTCAAGAAGTCATCCCCAGGAAAATTATCTTTAGCAAGTTCCATTCTACTTAAGTTTCCACGCCTTTAGAAAACGTATAGTCCAGAGAAATGTTTTAATTGCAGCTTGATAAGAGCACTAATGTCTGTGGTCTAGATCAGTGGTTTGGCAGTATAAAAACCTACTGGAGCAGATATCTAAAAATAGACCCTATATTTTCTCCTGATGATCTGCACTGGAAGCACTGCTTTGACATCGGTGCTGATGGTGCCAAGGCAATGCAAGATCCAATGTCTGAAGTTCTTCCAAGAGTTAAGTCTGCTGCCTACAAACAATTACTGTAGTTTCTACTCCACAGAGAAAGATGAGCTTTCAAAACGAAGTCTGAAGAACTATAGAGCTATTTTAATGTAATGGTGCAAATTTTCAGTTACTGTCAAGTGCAATGAAAACAAGGCTTTTTAGATACCTATGCTTGCTTGTTTTTTGTGGAAAAGTGCCAGTACAAGTATTCAAATTGTGCAATGAAATCCATGTTTCTTGAGAAGAAACGGGGCCAGAACTAAAACAGTTCAGCAACACAAGCCAGTGGTGTCTGCTGACACCAATGCACATACTGTAGCATACCTCTCTGATATATTAGTAAACTTGCTTCTGTGTGTTTCCAAAAGGAGTTGAGAATTTTCACACATTGTTTTATTGTTTAATTGTTGCCTTTTATTTATCCAGTCATGTGCAGCAAAAATAAGTAAACGGGGATTTGTTTTTCACAAGATTGGATATTTTAAGTAAATATTCACACAGTTTATTGTGTGAACATACTCGACTACTTTAAAAAAAATCAGCCTGAGTTATTTAATATTTTTTTTACCAAAAGTACCACATTCACTGGTAAAATGGTAAAATAATGGTAAAATCTCTTTTCTGAACAAATCATTTGTATTTAAATACAGAGATCTGTAGCTGGTCAGTTTAAGGCTCGGCCTGCGTACTTTGTTGAAAACAGTATTTTCCATCAAAATCAGGCACATAGACAGCACTAAAAAAAAGAAACTGACCTAATGCTTAAGCAGACATCCTATGTCAGCTGTCACCTCTGACAGTTAGAAATTATTTTACAGTGTGTCTGTATGTATGGAGTCAGCAGATGAATAAAAAGGGGAATCTCATCCTTAATATGATAAATCAGGTTTACTTTAAGGTATAGTCAGGGACATAACTAGAAATCACAGGGCTCCATAGCAAAATTTTGTATGGGTCCCCGCTCCCAAACCATCAGTATTGTATTTACATTGCATGCCACTGAACACTTGGTGCAAGGTGTATTGCATTTTTAATCCATCTGTATATATTATATGCAGACTGCATATGTTGAAAATGCAGTACACTTTACAGCAAGTGTTCAGTCACATTTAGTGTAAATGCTGTAAATGCAATTCCAATTTTACTAAAATTAAAAAAAAATGATATATATATAATCTACAGTATATAGCATTTTTTTATGATGGGAAAATTTTGATTTAGGCCACATTCACAAACTGTTAATGTCACCAAGATGTGGATGCACTCATAGGCCTACATGGTTTACAGAGAACAAATTAAATCTGACTTTATTGAATTGAAAACATTTTTGTTGTTGTTGACAGGTGCAAGAATTGCGGAATATTCTCAGCTATATGACCAGATTCTATTCCGTGAATCACCTGCAAGAGCAAAAAAAGAGGCTAAAGACAGCACAAAAGACTCGCCTACAGTTAAGTCTCGGGAACAGTTATCTCCTCAACCCCATATTAAATGTTCACAAACAAGCAAAATGCATACTGCCAGTATCAATGGAGAAACTGGAGACTTTTTCACCTGGCCTGAGTTTAAAGAGATGAAGTCAAAGTCAGAGGTGTTGACAAGTGGACCCAAAGGAAAGCAAACAAATCTAGCAGCCACCTGCTCTGTCCCATCTTTAAACAAGTCAAGTCCTTCAAGCCTACATGAGCAGAGGTGGAGCACATTTAAACAAACAAATGGTGAAAATACAAGCAAGGATCATGGCTATAATTCCTTAGGGAGGAGAGTAGTGTGTGAAAACACCCGTCCATATATTCGATCTCAGTCATCTTCCTCCATGTTTCTCCAAAGGACAAGAGAGCCTATCAAACATGCAAAACATTCTACTATGCCACAGTCACGGCATGACTCAAAACCTGAAAGAATGTCTGATATTTATGACTTTGGTGGCAGCTCCACTGAGCAAAAAGGACCACAAGAGGAGAACTCTGACTTGACACTGCAAGACTCTCAGAAGATCTTAGTGTTGAACACACTGTCTTCTCTAAATGCACAAATTGCTACATTAAACTATTTTGCAAACTTCAAAGACACTGAAGGTGATGGAGAAGATGATGACTATGTGGAAATTAAGTCAGATGATGATGAAGATGGCTTGGAAGCTTCTTCCAACCAGCCAATAAAGATGAACATACATGACCAACATCCTCAAAGCCCATTCTCCAGCACACCATATTCCTTCAGCATGCCCAGTACACCAGTTAAGACTATGAATGACAAGGAAAGCCTTGATTCCCACATAACCGGTTACGATGATGTAGATAAACTAAAAGACTATCTTTGGAGGCCTCCATCCTCTAACCAGCAGAACATTGTCCAGTCACTTAGAGAAAAGTTTCAGTGTCTTAGCTCCAGCAGTTTTGCCTAAATGCTTTTTTTGAAAACAATTTCTAGCCAAACTACTGTGGTTAACTGTATTCTAGCATTGTAACCTGATGCACTGTATAATTGCAGCACTGTTCATTCTAAATGTCTGTTGCATATCATTGTTTACATAAGGCAGCAAGGTCTGATTTGCGGTTTTGTTATATAAGATGTGCTTTTTCCTAGTTTAAGGGAAATTATTCCTAAACAATTAGGCAGTATGATTTTATGCAATTTGCACATTAATCCAAGTGCCCTAGTTGCAGAATGATTGCTACGCAGTATACTATAGACTTGACATAGTTGTAAAGTTGTAAACCCTCTCCCTACCTGGTAGCTTAACATTTTTAAACAGTTTTTGGTTTTTTTTACATTCTGCTATGAGTATTTCGAACAGAGGCTTACTGATCAAGCAAATCCGCTAATTCCAAACTTTCTAAGTTCTGTTGGCTACATGCATTGCAAACAAGTGAAATCGTATAATTGCTGTGCAGTGTACAGGTATGTGGTTAATGGGTTTTATACAGAGCTCAAAATTGAAAACCTGATTTTATAGCTTTATCATACAGTACATGTTGGTCTATTTGGGACAAGGTCAGATTAGCAAATTTAGATGCATAGGTTTCATTATTGGCAAATATGTGTGAATGTGGAGCTGATTAAAATGACTTTGTATCCTCGACCACAACACTACCATTAAGGAGGATAGTCTTCTAAAATAGGGCTGTGTGAGCATTTCCTGTAGTTGATCTTTTTCACATATATTCCCAACTCCAGCCAAAACGTTTTACCTTTAGCATATAGTGGGAAGAGTTACAATTCCTGTCTGTGACCCTACTGGGGAGATTTTCCCTCGCTTACCTTGCTTGTGATGTCCATACAAGTAAAAGGTACTACTAAAGTGTCCATATTATAATGGGGGGGGGGGAAAGATTAAAAGCAGTGCAAGAATGAATAATGATTTGTAAATTACAGTAACTCCTGAGAAGCTCTTTAATTGCCGTATATGTAACCTTGGCAAAATATCTTTAAGGAGGCACAAACTCTAAAACTGTTTTTTTTTATTAGTAGAGTGAGGAAAGATTATAATACTTATCAGGTTTTTGTTTTCATCCCAGTTGGGGAAGATATCTTCACTTCCTGTGTGTTTGTTTACCAGGGCAGGTAATAAGATGCAATAAGCTCAACAGGGACATAGATGGCAATATAAATTTGACAGAAGGTATAACTCTTCCCCACTCTAGCCAAAGCCAAAAAATATGATTTTGATGGAGCTGGGCTTTAATCCTAATGGTGTCCATTTATGCACCTTTAGTAGAGAGCAGGGAGGCAAACATGGATTTCCAGTTTATCTAATTGATAGCGTGACACTTGGAGGCGATTTGTAGATTTTTTTTTTCACTCTGTTACTGCCAGCCTATCTAATTTCTTGATATATCTTGGGACACCTGTGGGTAATTCGCATATAAAGACATATTGTCATTGTTTCTCATAAACATCAATAGACATTATACATGGTTTTATAAAGTCTTATTTTGAATAGCGATAGAACAATTTAACTGAATTGCTTAACAGCTGTACATTAAGGACAGATATACATTGCCTTTATGTAGCAATAATATAACACAATATGTTGGCATGGTAATTTCTGTGTGGTTGATAATCTTTGTATAGTATGCCATAGACATTAGGGTAGCTAATTTAAATAGTACTGTATTAATTTGTCTTGGTTCTGCATGTTTGTGCATTGAGGGAGAGGAACTCCACTTTCCATATATTTACTCAGTCATAGTTTATTGTCTTTAAAACAGCTAAACAGTTAAAATGTCCGATTTTATACTATGGGGTTGATTTATAAAGAATTGGCAGGGTCTGTCGCCCCTGGGAATATCTATGATCGTTCCTCCTGCATGAATATGTGTACAAACGAACATTCTTTCGTTTTTTTCCTTTTAGAATTGTAATTAAATTTAAATGTTCTGATTGAGTTATCACATTATTGCCACTAGATGGCACTAAAAGCGCATAGAAAATAAATACTTATTTCATGTGCTCCTTTAGCACCATTTTTAGCATCTAGTGGCCAATGTGTTATACTGTATGTGATATAACATAAGAATGTTCAAATTTAATTACACTTGTAAGGGAAACATTTAAAAAAGTTTGCTTGTGCATATACAGTATTTGCACAGGATGAATATTCACAGATTTTCGCAGTGCGAACGGCCCTGTGATTTAAAAAAAAATAATCAGCCCCTATATGTGTTCTGTCCATAAAATTGTAATGTTTCATTGCAAAAGCTTACCTTCCTCTACTTTTTGACACAAAGGCAGTGATAACTGTACATTTATAATATTGTCATTCCTTAAAGCCTGGAGTTTAAGGTGACTATTTGAACTTTATGTATATATTTGGTTCAGTAAAATCTTAAGTTATTATGAGGTGTATTTTTTTTTTTTTGCTAGAAAGTGTGATAACACTTGTTTCTGCATCTATTTACCAGCTAATAATAACATAAACCTTTGATGTAACCTAAAAGAATGAGAATATATATGCTTCAATCACATATTACTGTAAGGGACCGATGCATACATTAAGGTGCATGTGAACCCTAACCTTTTTGTTTTTCTGTTTTGAAAAGAGCAGAAAAAGTCGGAACCCCTGGTCTTGTTTTCTATTGTTGTGTGTGTACCTGTGGGAAGATTTAACGTCACCACTGAAACTAATGACCACCCTCTCGGGTGCAGAAGTGATGTGAAATCCAAAGTTTTTGAGTTGTCGCAGGAAGTGATGGGTAAACCCACTTCTCATACTTTGGTCACAGCAGTGAAAGTGGATCTCCCCTCACTTTTTATCGACCTTGTCTTACTTCCTATTATACTATATGTTTTTTTGTGTTCCTATTCTTACCTTTCTAGTTGTTTTGGGGAGGTTTAATCAAAGGAAGCTATGGGCAGCTTATATTGCTTAGAATAGATGGCAAGGTGCAGATAAGGGACAGATTAAAGGAACACTTTTAGGTGCATTACCATACAATGTTCCACCCAAACATTGGCATTTTAACCCTTTGTTAAGATAGAGAGTGTGCAGATCTAGTTTACAACTGATTATAAAGATCTGCAACCACAGTGCAAGCAGGGTTAATTAGGGTAAACATAAATCTGAAGCCCCCTCCTTAACATTACACAGAATGGCAAGCTAACTAAGATTTTTGTACAAGAAAAATTGTAAGCAGCCATTTTTACATTTATTTATTTTTTTCAAGTTATGCTATGTGAATGGGAACGTAACAAATATAAAGTAAGTGTTATCCCAATTTGGCTTCAAAAGTGGAAATACAAACAGGTCTCCCTGAATACATTTAAATCACACTTACTAAATTGTCCTGTATAAGGGACAATTCCTTTTTAAAGTGTCTCTGTAACTAAAATAAAATATCCAAATAAATAAACCCCTACAGAGAAAACCTAATTACCCACTTTTTCTGCTGCCCGCATCTCTGAAGTAACACAGAAAAAAAACAACTGAAGATCACTTCTGGAAATTTTGATTTCTCGATCCCTCCGCAGCGCACTGTGATTCCTCTCGCCGACTCCTACGTCACTACTATGTCCGTCGTAGAGTTGAGTATTTTATGTTTCTCTTGCAGGGAGGCATTTACTTTGAAGATTTAAATTAGTGAAAGTGTCATTTTAGGAAGGGAAGTAAAAAAGTAATCGCAGTGACAGGAGGAGCACTTCCCACTAACATCCTGGAGACCTTAAACAACAAGCTGGGAGACCGAGCCCTACCGAAGTCCACCGAAAGTGAGGAGATGGTGTTCACTAACTACATAACCCAATAATGTAAAGCTCTGCAGCATGCATAATAAAAATGACCAATCATTGGTTTTGGGTTATATGCACTTTGCAACGGATAAAGCCTATATCATTTAGTGATTAACATGGTAAAAAAAATACTTATTTGCTAGCCTACAGGTCAATATCGATGGAAAATGACATCACTATTATGCTACCACACATATAAATCAAATGGGTAATTCAACAATTAAATGCAGATTGGCAGCCTATCTGGTAATACGGCTGCCAGTAACACAGTTCAGCTGTTACTGCAATGTATTGGGTTACCTTAAGACACTTGATGTGAATTGAAATAAAATGAAAGCAATAACACAGTTCAGTTGTATTCGGTTGCATTAAGACACTTGAAGTGAATTGAAATGAAATTCAAGCCTTTGAATGTATTACATTTACAGGCCGACTGTTCTCATGTAAAAGGTTTCTATATTTTAGACGTGTGCTATTGAATAACCTGCATAAGCAGTGTTTTGCAGGAGATAAAATGTAGCTTACAAATAGAATGGTTCATTGGACAGTTTAATTAACTGACTCATATTTGGGATACCAGCCTTTCAGATAGTAATACCTTATCATTGGAAATATATATAAAATAAAACTTTCAAAACTGCACTTTGCAATGGCCATTTCCATTTAAATCTATGAACAAAGGTTGTGTTGAACATAATAAGATTTATTGATTTGTAGTGGTGGGTGCCTGCACTGTTCTGTATAGATACTTAGGTCAAATTATGTACATAAACTGTTTTGTGCACATCTAAATCTCACCTATATTGTCTTCTTGTCCTATGGATGAGATTTGATTTGTTTTATGTTCAATGAGTTGCACTTTTTCATGTTTTTGTATATATTAAAATGTCTGTACATTTAGAAGAATTTAAATCCTTTCATTTGTTTTATGTAAAAAAAACTGAAAGCATGCAGTTGAGAAAATGTGTAATTTTTATGATGCTTAGTAAAAAAATAAAGCAGTGTTTCAATCTAATCTTGAGGTGAATTAGGAATATTTTCTTTGTTGATATAGATCTGCAAAAATTAACCAGGAATGTCTTTTTATTGAAATTACTATGCAAAAATTGACCAGGACAATCATGCAGTTATCCGATCATACAGCTCATACAGTTAGTGGTATATTATTATTATACAGGATTTATATAGCGCCAACAGTTTGTGCAGTGCTTTACAATATAAGGAAGACATTACAATCACAATACAATTCAAGACAAGATGGTAAGGAGGGCCCACAATCTAAAAG